ATATAATTAGTTAGCTAAAGTTTATCAATCCAATAAATCATGGGCATACAGGCCAACTTAATGGAGAAAAGACTGAAAGGTGTTAAAATAAAGAGAAGCTTCCTGTTCATTTATGGGTTCTAATACATAAGTGTTGTGTTCCTTCGGTTTCTTTCAACGTTAACGCCACCTTCTCGGGTATCCTTGTATTTCTAGCCAGATTGCGCCATCTGGTGGGTTAACAAAGTCACAGCAGTAGACTAGGAAAAAAGTAAAGCGACTTTTATGCGATTTTCATATTAATAACATCCGTCTAATTCATAAAATATATTTAATTAGCTTTTGTCTGAAATTATAAGCCACTTTTTAGATACAAAAAACAGGTTTACAGATAAAGACTTATGAGGCCTTTGAATGATTTATCCTGATTGGCTGATCTCTAATGTTATTTTCTGGAGAGAAAAAAGCACAGCCAAAGTAGTACCGGCACGTTGAGTGCATTACCTTCTATATCACCACGCTGAATGATTTCAAACACAACACAAGGCTTTGGATGAGATGTGTGAAACTAGTGTCACACACAGGAGCAGTTTTAGGACAAAAATCTGACAGATGTCTAAAATACAGCATCAGAGCTAGTGTGGTAACCACAGTGTAACTGTATTTAATATCAGCACCAGTCTGGTGAAGTCCACAACCGACGTAAAGGCTATTTATTATACCTTTATACATTTTAGAATTCGACTGCAGGCCATTAATTATTCCTTATTAATGAAGGGTTGGGCAAGGTTCAGTGTCTCAACTTTTGCATCCTTGATTATTGCTTTTATTTCTCTACAGTTAACCATCATGTTTTTTTTTACACAGATTAGTATACATTTTATTTTTTCTGCAATATTACTTCATAGCAGCAGAACAAAAGTAGTCCCTTCACTCAAACCAAACCAATGACTGTAAAAAATATGGACGACGCGACAGCCCCTTTTGCCATTGAACGCCTTGAGGGCAAAACGCCTGCTTGACGGGCACAAACTGTCGCAAAAGACTGCTGAAATTGGAGCCAGACATGCGCAGAAGGACTGTCTGATGGAGCCAGAGGAGGAGCCGCGATAATGAGCGGAGTCGAGCTTCCAATCAAACGCTTTATGTAAAATCAACCACGCCCCCCGAACTTCTCACTCGACTGCCGGTGTCTGCACTATAACAAACGCTCACTGATGTAAATAGAAGCACTTACATTAAAAAAACACAATAATATACGGTTTAAAAACGGTGTGATGTAAGCTGTTAAACTTTAATAAAAGCAATACATGGTGGACTGCAGAAATAAACGATCTTTTATACACTCTAGCCTGAATATGAGCACAAATAATATATTCTCTTATTGTTATATTTGTTGTTGGTATTTGTTATCTTCATAGGGGTAGAAATAACACTTGTAAAATATGAACAATAACATATAAACAACACATACATTTTTAGAAAGGTTTTTATTTTTAATTAGCCATCAACAGAACCCAAAATATAGCCTACACACCATAACGATTTACCATGCGGGAACAATCGTGCGTTTAGAAGATAAATACAGCAAGATTACTAAATATCAACAGGATATTTACACATCCCAACCCTGCAATTTGTCAATTTGTGCAAAAAAACTTTGCACTATTAATACAACTTCTATCTGCTGTAACATCACTAGTATATTGTTTATTCATTTTCGCTTGAATTGTTTATTTATTTAATTTTTTTGCCTCCGTTTTCATTTGGTTTATTCGATGCCTTCATTATATCTGGCAACGAGGAATTTACATTCTTTTTAATGTTAGCTGGAGTGTTCAAATAAAACGCCAACAGTAAATGATGTAAATAAATAATATCTAACATTTACAGCTCTATTAGGTTATATAAGATTCGATTTCAAGAACCTTAAAATGATTTATAACAGCAAATTCAGTAGATCACTTAATAACATGCCAAAACTTAAAATGCAGAGACGTGCAAGTTCAAATAACCTTACAGGAGATCAACGTGAAGATTATTATTTAAACACAAAGAGAATTACTGCTAACGATCTCCTGTATACCCCGTACTTAAATGGGTTTATTTTATTGTGCAGTTTTATTGTCATTTTCGTATTTATTATTATTATTATTTAATACTTGTGCAACCGATACAGGTTTATTGTTATTTATTTTGTCCTTTATTTAAATAATTGCTATGCTATTTGCATCTTTATTCAAAGGTTAAACTCAGTGATACACTTTGCGTTCACATAGTAGCATGCGTTTGTTGTTATATCAACAAAAATGGGTGTAATAACGTTAACAAATGTGAGGGTTTTATATAATGAAGATTCAATCGCGCCAGCTCCGGGCATCAGCGCATAACCTAGTCGCGGCGTCGCGGGCTGATTCCGGCTCGCATGCGGCAGCGCCTTCTCGCTCGGCCGCCGCATCTGGCTCAATTGACTCAGGCTGGACTCGGGCAGTGAGTCCAGGCATCCGGAGTAGGTCCAGCAGAGGTAGTCAGTCTGAGGGGTAAGTCTCCGGCAGGCAAGAACTGGCCCCTGTGTATTTTGCTATCTGGGTGGTTAGGCGTGTATTAGCAAACTAATAAAGCCCGAAAAAAGCTCTGACCTTAGCGAATAAACAGTGTTCCACCAGATCATGTATGTCAGAAACTGTAGTTTACTGCTGAACTCATTTTGTCATAGTAAAATATCACAGAAATCGAGTAATAACACTTCAGTCCTCTGCCGAAGCTCAGACGCCGCGCTTTGAGAAACTGTCAATCACAGCTGTCAATCACGATGACACGCCCAGCATTAAATTACTGCTAAAAACAAACTGTTTACAAAAATGAGGATCTGCACCTATTTCAGCACAATAACCAGAGCCTTAATCGACCAGAACTATCTTTCGGGACATTTTATTGCAAGTGTAATTAATTTTTTTATTTGGGCTCAAGTCTCCTTCATTAACACGGAGGAGGCGGGCTTTATGACTTGTACTGCAGCCAGCCCCCAGGGGGCGATCTAAAGGCCGAGACCTTCACTCAAACGCAGGCTTGCGGCACACTTGAACCAAACACACAAATGTCTAATGTAACCTACAAACTGCTTGTCCACCAGCAGCTCAAACCACATCTCTGATGACCATGAACCACAGCAGGTTTCAGTTTGACTCAAAAGCTAAGTGTCAATAGAACAGCAGAGATTGTACTTGGTTTTAACATTGTACTTTGGTTTTCTAAATACAAAAATTAAAAAGATATATTACACAACCGTACTAAAAATCAAATATATTTAATCAAATATAGTCAATTCACAGAATATTGTTATTTTTCCACATTTTCACATAGTACACCAGATTATAAAAGTAAAGTATATAACCCGCTCATTAAAAAAGGCACAAGGACCAGACAAATATTTACTTCAAATAATACGATCACATAACACAAACTAATGAAACATGTAGGAGGAGGGTCAAGCTGTGAGAGGAAGATATACACGAGCAGTGTTTTTTCAGAGCACAATCTTATTTGTTTAAAAACCGAACTGTTAAGGAGTGTTTTGCATGTTTCTTTTCTTCTGTTTGTGCTGGAGGACTGGTTAGAGCATTTTAACATACTCATTGTTTCCATTTTTTAGTAATAAATCTACAGCAATAGTGCTCAGATATGGGTTTATACATTTAAATAGAAAGTTACAGGTTTTGAAAGATGATAAATAACTACTACTACTAATATTATTACTATCATCATCATCATCAACTATTGAAAGTATCTGTCAAGACACATATGAAATGTACATCGTATCTGCATAATTGGAGATGCTCTGTAGTGGATCGGCATTAAAAAGTGACAATTGCCTTAAGCTGTATACTTAACTTTAACAGTAACAGTAATTTAACAACAACTACAGCAGTATTTTACACTACTCTGCCTGCGTGAATTGCTGTAATGTTCCACAACTTGAAATATTGGCTTTTTAATTCTCTTCTTCAATCAAAAGCAGCTTTGGCACATTCTACATAGTAAAAAGCATCATAAATAAAGATCAATTGAGTTATAGATGGCGGGGAAAAGACTGCAAGATGGTTTTATATAGTGATGTAAACATCTTATACATCATAACTAAACTTGATTATCACAACAGATAAAAAAAAAAAAAACTCTAAAGAAAGTCAATTTCTAAGTTATGTAAGTGACTTTCATTATGTTTTGTGTCTCGGCTGTAAGCATGGGCCGGTATAAGTTTTGGATGATATGATAACCTTGAATAAAAATACCACGGTTTCACGGTATTGTGATTACTACTTTAAAATAAGTTCATTTTTAATGTCTGAGAAAAAAAAAAAAAAAAAAAAGCAACAACTATATTTTAGGAAACATTTATAATATTTTGGAATAGAAAACATTTCAGGCTTAACAATTATAAGAAATAAATAGTCTGCTGTCTTCATTGATTTCAAAAACACAGAGTTATTTACACATAAAAACCAAACTTATATACCTTAGGAACAACAGAAAATGTTTGTGGTTTTAAAACGTTTAAAAACCTTTTCCAAACCGCGGTAAACCTTGAAACCGGTCATCCCATGCCTACTCGACTGTTGTTGTAATTGCTCTTCAGTTCAGAAGCAAATTAAATACATATTTTAAAAAGATGCTTCAAAATCAATATAGTCAACATAATCAAAACTTAACATTTGATGTTGCTAAAGGAATATTCAGAAGCAAAGGGGACAAAACCTCCTTTTATGTCCTTTAATAGTTAAGTAGTATAGCCTACTACGCATTTTCTCCACTGATCTTCAGTAAATATTATCTGAATAATGGCGCCATCATGTGGAAACACTTTCTATTTATCTGATAAAACTGTCATTTCGTGTGCAGCTAAAAGTTAGTGAGAGCATCTCACTTGTGTTTGTTTAATATTGTATCAAAGCCCACTCAAACTACAGGCCTATTTTAACGTTATTTAGAGGAATTAATAAGGAGTTAGTAATTACACTCACCTTTGACAGACAGTAGCCCACCATCGAGTTCTGGTGCTGTTCTGAGCCCACACTTTATGGTTCTGCTGTTGAGTTATGAATCCGGAATCAGTGGTTTTGATGTCTATGATGGATTTAGTCTGTTTATTTAGCTATAGGTTACTCTAAACAGGCTGTTCTGTCGAATATACGAAAAAACGCCAAACCTGTTTTCATAAAATTACTGCTGAACAGCTGCTCGCAATCAAGGAAGGCTCAAAGCAGACCGAGCATGCGCGGATTAAGGCAAACAATAAATAAAATCTGACACCTGGGGCCTGTTTCAGTAAGGAGGTTCAAACAACACGGAGTTTAAACTTGAACTCTGAGTTGATTTACCGAGAGATTAAAAACTCAGAGTTTTCGGTTTCAGGATAGCTGATCTGAGTTGGATCAATCAACTTTGAATAGCTGACGCGTACTAAACAGTTCCTGTAAATACTATAAAACTATTTTATGTTTCTTCAAATAGTTGTATTACAATCCAGCTCTTTCAAACGAGTAATTCATCTTCATAGTATCATCATGGCAAAACTTTACTCCATCCAGTAGGGGAGAAATATGCACTCAAAGCTGGTTTGCCATCCGTCATAAAACATCAATGAAGAAAACGAAAAGACAAGAAATGAAAGAGAAAATAACTGTTAAATTGTGCCTCTAAAGATGAAATACAGTGTGCACATGCATTGCACTCATCTGTATCAATTTTATAAAGTTATTTTGTCATCAACATCGGTATTTGAAAGCCAAATGTTATCATACTTGTCTATTTAATAAAATTTGTCAAAAGTGTGCCCTTTTAAGGATGTTATGGAATATGTTTGAGCGTCTCCGTTCATTTATCTGCATAATTTATTCCATAGTACATTAATAAAAGACTGACTGTGACATTATGCATCTAAATGTTTACATTATTAAGCTACAGACCGGTCGCGTTGTGATTTACAATATATATATTTTTTTTTTTTATGTATTATGTATTATTACTAATTATTTAGCTATACAATTAGCATATTTTGTGCATAATATAATTTGATAATTTTAGTTAATAGTTGCATTAAAAAAACACATGCTTTATTTTTTTTTCACTAGATTGTGACCCTTGGGGTGAGACTGCAATAGTGTCAGATGCAGCAGATTGATTTTATGGCACCAAGTTAAACTTTTTGTTAAACTCACGTACATTAAAAATAAATACACGCTACAACTGAAGATGGAGGATGATCTCTTGAGAAATAGTATCTGGATGCAGCCCTTTTGAAGCAAGCTGAGATTGCACCACAATGTCAGACACAATGCAGGCAAATGGAGTGACGTTACTGTTAGGGGGAGGGTTAAGTGAGCCCTTCAAAAAGCATCCCGATCCCTCTCCTCTTGAGTGGTGTTTTCCAAAATTAAATAAAAAAAATAAAATAAAGACTTGGACCTATTGGTGTTTGTGCGCCGTTTCATGCAAGGTTTGTATATATATATTTATAACCACCTCAGAGCATATACGGGGTTACGAGTCACTGGCATTGGTATTTTGGGGGTCAAAGGCTGAAAAGTTTCAGAACCAGGCCCGGATTGGCTAATCGGGAGGACAGGGAGAATTCCCGTTGGGCCGGTCCGTTTTTTGGCCGTGAGGGCCGGTGTCCCTAGCTCCAGAATCTGTTGCTCTCAGCAGTCACACTTTTTAAATATAATTTATTTATGTACTTGACCACAGCCTTCTCATTTATGCAGGTTAATGATGATATAACTAGATAAGTCACCATTCAACGTACAGTTGTTGTGGTACAGTGGTTAGCACGTTAGGTTAAGGTGCGGCCAACCAGGGTTTGGTCCTCGTCTATGAAGATTTTTTTTTTTTTCATTTTTATTGTTAAGACATATAATACTGTAAGGGTTGTTGAACATTTGAAGTTCTAAAACAGCTGTTTTCTCAAAAAAAAAAAAGACGTGATAGTGTAATTAGAAACTGAATTGGAAATGACCTTATTTTAAGATAGTCAGTGGTGAACTGAGGTGGGCCGGTCTAAGGCTTGAAACTCCAGGGCTGAAAAAGAGTCCCACTCCGGCCCTGTTCAGAATCATTGGTTTATATAATAGTATCTGACTGCAGACTGAAGCTGCGGTCACACTAGAGTTTGTGCAAGCGAAATTTTGATGTACAGTGCTGTGAAAAGGGGCGGGATTAAACAAGATGATTAGACATTTAAAAAAGCGAGAGATTGGTTCATATTTAACATTTCTGTCCAGAGAGGTCATGTTTTGATCTTCGAGTGGTCTCATGCAATTATGTAATTAACCAAGCTTGAACTTTCCAATGCAGCAAACTGTGAAACTTGTTGCACGAGGTTGTGTTTCCAGTCTGACGCATTTGCGTGCGTATGAATGGAAGTCTATGGGGAGAAAAGTGCAGTGTAATCGCAGCTTTACCCAGGAAATTAAGCTATAGTTCAACTTGCAGAGTGTATTTTCTGTCATGAGTTTGGTTAATGATTTGACACTTTGTATTATTCATATTAAGCTGAAATAGTTTCACTTAAATGTTTTACTCAACCAAATGTATACCACTAGGAATAAAAACTGTAAGTGCTTAAATTCTAATTCACAGAAGAAACCATTGGAAAGTGATGTTTCACTTTTTTGTCAGATTTAAATGTCTGATAATAGCACAACAGGAAACCTCCAGACTAAACACACACGCTTTTTGATCACCTCATACCGTGTTTCTGAATAAAATTAAACCACATCAACTTTCTGTTTCACTTACATGTTGAGTTGCTAAAATCACACCCAAGTGTGATGGATGACAAATTTTTTCTTTGTCTTTTTCCATATGCCACATTTGCAAATTTAAAAGCATAGCATTTTGTTTTAAAAGCTTTACTACACCCTAACATTTTGTGATTTGTTTAATATAATGTTCAGAGTGTCTGATTTTCCATCATGTGGGAGGATACGAACACCAGATGAAAAAGGCTTCAGCGGAAAATCAGATCAGACACCGAGTGCTTGATGGAAATGATTCACATGCATGTTTTGTTCCAGTTGATCTGGTGGCTACTAGTTGGTAAGTTATCAAAGATTTTATTCAGCTTAATTTCTTCAGTTTCAAAACATTACGTTTTAATATTCAGATTAATATGCTTCTTATTTTATTTTTTCATCAAATTAGTTATGGTGAGATTTTTTTAAAGTCATGTCTCATTTCAGCAAGCATGTTTTAGGATCTCACATATAAAAATCTGAAACTACTGTTGGGGATGTTTTCATCCACTCAGGGGTGATTTTAAGTTTTAATTTGGCCACAACATGTTCTGTGTTTCAGCTAGCAGAATGATTTTTGTTGACAAATCTTACTTTGACACATATTTTGAGAAAATGCTTAGAATTGTTTTTGTTTTTTTATTAATTAACAATACACTCAAATTGACTAACCATTTGTTGTGTTAGGAAAGAAAACTTCCACTAAACTAAACTGCTGTACAAATACATCAGATAAATATGATCAAAACTACTAAATTGCTTAGAAAATTACAGAATTTTAACTATTTAATTGCAAAATTCATAAATGATGTCACTGATTAGGGTGAAAAAACACAAAATTATGTATTTTCATTAATAAAAAAAGTAATTGCGGACTGGACTTTATATGAAAGTCTTGGACATGTGAAACATCATTGCCTTAGATGCATTGTTTTATGTTAGTCTTCATTTTTGACTCCCTAATTTACTCTTGGTGGTTGACTTGCCCCATTACCTTGCTTTATAACCACATTTTTTTTATTACAAACCCATGACACCATAATCATGCATTTTTGATTGTTGGTGGATTTCCCTGTTGGGAAGAAGAAAAATGTTTTAATATTTACTGTTGATCATCAGCGGGCACCATTGAACCTTAAAAAAAAAAGCTTAGTTTCTTGATTTTATATGGAGTGTAACAGCAAATTAAAGTGTTTGAGAGTGTCAGAGTGACCTTTACGCTCTTACCTTGATGTGTCTGAGAAAATATAAACATGCATCTCAGCTCTCAGAACTACATGGAGTAAATAAAAACAAAGACTGTGCATGTTTGCAAGATCAAATGTGGATATAATGGAAGTCAATGGGGAAAAAAACAGCCACCAACAGTAAATTAGGGAGAACAAATGAAAATATAACAATGCATCAAAGCCAATGTTGTTATTTATCATGCACATGTCCAAGACTGAAAAGAGGAAGTAAAAAATCCAGTCCACAATTACTTTTTATATTGAAAATACGTCATTTTGGGTGTTTTTTCCCACCAAATCAGTGACATAATTTGTGAATTTGGCAATTAAAGAGTTACAATTCTCTTTTAGTTTAGTAGTTTTGATCAGGACGGAGGTTGATTAACAGATTTAATGAATAAATAAAAACAAATATTTATCTGATGCATTTTTACAGCAGTTTAATTTAGTGGGTAGTAAATTTGAACATCGCATAAGGGTTAATTGTCTAGCAGATACATTGAAATCAGCAAAAGAGCAAAACAATGTTGTGGCTGTGACAAATACATTAATTTCACATCCAATTCACACTTTTAAAGGCTGCCAGTGCACAACTACGGAACCCCGGAAGGGACGTAGTGGGGGAGAAAAAAATGGGTGGGTGAAAAAAAAATAATGGGTGGAAGAAAAAAAATGGGTGGGAGGAAAATATATATTTCTAAGTTTTTTTGCGTTCTCTCGCAAAGTTTTGCGTTCCCTCGCAAAGATGTTTTGCGTTCCCTCGCAAAACTGTTTCTCCACAAACACTTCCTGTTCACTGCACTCACGTAAACCCTCCCGTTTTTGCCGAAATTCTCCCGTATTTTACCATTCTATCCCACTTTCTTTACATTACATTTGGCTTGTTAAAATTACCTTCATCATCACATGGATCAGAATTAACCTTGAACATTATTTAGCTGTAATTAAAATGGAATGTAGCAATAGGTTTTTAGACTGCACATATTATTACACATTTAAAGATGAAATATTTTTCTACACTTATTTGTTAATCGCTTTCTTGCTTTCATGTTTGTGTGTGGAATCTTAATCTGAGACTAAACCGGTTTCTTTTCTCCAGGTGCATTTGCTAAGAATGTGTCTGTGTCTGTGTCAGTGACCGAAGGAGATAATGTTACTCTAATCTCTGGTGTAACTGAAATACATAATGACGACATACTGTGGAAATTCGTACCCGAAAACTTTCTAATAGCTAAAACTAGCATGGATAAGCAAAACTTCTCCACATTTGATGGTCCTGATGGGAGATTCAGAGACAGACTGAA